ATCAATGGGAATTGTATGCTGAGATATACAATGAAAATAAATTGAGTTTCTAAGTACCACTGATGTACGCGTGTCAAGACTAATTTAGTGAACCATTCGGTATTATCAGATATGCGGTAGATACTAACGTTGCAACAGCTATTTTCAGAAAAGCATTGAAGGCTATTAAGTCTGGTACGAAATATAAATTTTCAAAATAACACAGCAACATAAAAGTAAATATACAAAACCACACTTGTTCCCGTTTAATAGTACATTGAATTTCTCATGAGTATGAGCTCACAAGACATGGAGTTTTATATGAATTCAAAAAAGGTGTCTACGGATACTCTCTTATACATACGCAACTTCTCTTCCACTTACGTTGAATTGAGTCCCACAAAGTTACCTTCACATAATTCCCTTCACCACGTGGCGATCGTTAATGAGCTGTCACCGACGGTGATAGAACTATACTAATTCCAATTAAGTACTACAGCTAAGTCCAAATGAAACAATCATTTGTTGGTAGCGTATTCAACTACACATGAAGCAAGACACAACACTGTTTCCAAAAGAAAGAAGTGGAGCGTAATCATACTTACGCAGGCAACAAGAATAGCTGTTTTACTTATAGAAGATACAGCTTGGCAAAATCACGTAATTCTCATTTAAAAAATGATCTGAAAAGCAATATTCAAGATACAATTCATCCACGGATCAGATATTCAGCTGAGCTTAAGCAGGTTTAAAAAGAGTAATCGATGGGCTTACAGTGTGCGGTCTAAAGTTTCCCATTTCCTCTTTGTGTTCAATTTATTTGAGACCAAGAGAGATTGTGGAGTTGAACCTACCACATCAGGAAGTGAGCGAGCACGTGTTTCTGCATTTGCTTAAGCCCTAACTGCTACCCTCTGCTAGCCTAGTTAAATTGGCATGGTCTAAAATCGAATGCTGACGCCATTAGATTCACGGCTGGCCCTTCTCTAAAATGTCCACACAAATTGAGCACGAGCAGGTACAAATAAATCAGTACAAAATTTAACTGATTTGGATTTAAGTTCACTTATTTACTTAGAGCAATTTACATATGTATGTATCCTGTCTACTTGTACAAGAACTAATTGGCGCCAAATTGTCACAAATTTTATCATAAATCCTCAAAGATCAACACATCTTAAATACTGGTTGTCATGAGATGATCATTTGCGAGCGACGTCATGCCATCGCTACCTAGAATAAGAGAACCAGGCAGAATTATAGGTCCCTCTTCGTGTGTGTGCGCCTTCATGATAACGCTGCGTACTCGAGCCTCCTCATCCCACCACACGCCCCGCGCTCCCACCACTCCCAACACTCGACACATCAGATACCTGATTCGAGACACGTCTCCTGATAGGGACACAGCCAGACGTGCGTTACCAGGTAGCAAATCAGAGCAGGTGGGCCATTCAGACGTGTAAACATGCAGCCAGAGGGTTGAAACTTGCGCGATTCTGCACACAACTGTGTGCATAATTAAGAAGGGGAATGGTCGCATATTTTAAATTCATCCAACCCAAATGAGGCTACTCCGGATATCCAATGCGTAGCAGCGCCCATTTTGCCAAAAGCCACCAATATCCTTAACACGACGAACTATTAGATGAATTTGCAACGGGTCCACAATTTGCAATGACAAATAAAATAAAAAGCTCCACTTTTAGTCCAGTGCTTCTGTACCAGTCTTCAAAACTACATTGCTTAAAGACAAATAAAGCCGATACAATTTTAGTTTCTCATTTGGCTCATTAGCTAGCTACGGACGTATGAGGCAAAGTATAGAACAGCCTATTCTTCTTATTTATCTCCAAGTCAGCAGTTGATTGGGGGAAATAGTTTACATTACCCTGACGAGCCAATGAAATGTTGGCTACTGAGATGCAAACCACTTCCCTACCTACATTTTCTCGGAGAAGAAATTTTTGGCTTACATGAGTAGTCCACAATGGATACGAACCGGTAACTAGAAAGTCAAAATGCGTAGGACAGGTGATTGAAATAGCATAAAAGCGGATTAAGTTGAATGCATAGTGACCTCGGCCCAACGCTCATTGAAATGCATGCAAGTAGCCGTTCATAAACTCACCACTTTCAAGGCGATGGGAAAAGTGGTAGTATTCTACTCCCGCCACCTCTTGTCCACTGCCGCCTCTTGGTTCCTCCAACGCACAGCCAACACGAGTGAAGAGAAATTGTGGAGTGTTGTCGTTAAGGTCATCTATCAGCACAGTAGCATGCACTTGTGTGGACCTTCTGGGATACCCATTATCAGTTAGGGTGATCTAAAATTGTAACGCAAGCTACGATACCACTTGATGGTGATAGGTTATAAAGCAACAGAGTCTCTCACTTGCTCATTGGAAAAGTCATATTGCAATCCCTAAATTTGCCTAAGGGTTACTTTCCCTGAGTAAAGCCCCCGGGTGTAATGATATCAAAGTATCCTCAATTCTACGGACTTAGTAATTCTGGCAAAAATTTTGAGCGCATTTATTTCAATAAACGTCGATAAGCTGTATATAAACCAAAATTATATCCAGTTACAGGTAGAATATTATTAAAGTAGGTTGATATGACCATGTGGTCAAAACTTGCAGTAGGAAATCACGCTGCGAGTGGGCACATACTGGCATACAAAGCACTCTGTGGGTAAAAAAGGCTATGCTGAACAAATCAAAGGAAACGCATGCAAAAATACAAATTTCACATCTTTATTACGATCTTCGCATTTTTCCAGGAGCAGCATTGTTTGGCAATTTAGTCATTGGTTTGCATTGCAAGAAAGCGGACGAATAACGAGCATTGAGCGGATGATGACAAAAGCTTCGAATCTGAAGTCGGTGGATAGGCGACACTTGTAGCCGTTTGCACTATCGAGAGCAGTCACGAACAACTTCCCGTGGGAACCATTTTGATTTAAGGAAAGCTAAATATACTGGATGATGTGAGAACTGGAATCTTTCTTAATACCCCAATGTTGTCAACTTTAGTGTCAGCATTAGCAGGCTAGCATTTTGCCAGAAAGGAAGAAACTGAACAAACACAAAGAAGACGCCTTTTCCCGATGCATTTTCGAGGTCTAATCCTGACATTAAACCGACAGTTGTCAAGGTGCTTAAAGTTTGTCCCAATTTGTTTTGCACAATGCTCTCTTTCGCCCATGACCAAGAGCAGAAAGGTGCAAAGCTAAAATGTTGTATTTAAGAAAGTAGTCGCTGGTAATGAATGCTGAAGCCAGAAGAGAGCTAAGCTCTCTACTTTCTTATTTCAAATTAAAATAGCATCAACATAGCAATAATAAACTTGTAGTTAACACAGCTATTCATTTCAAATGCAAAGGGAATGTAGTGATCCCAAAGATGAGGCGAAACGAAGGTAGAACTTTTAAAGTGCGAAAAAATCTCCAGCGTAAGACGGGAATCTCAGAACTTACAACCAGGTTAACTTCGTCGGTTGGCTGACCTCGAGCGTCTAGGAAGGAAGATTCGCGGTCTATCGGATAGAGGGATGTAGCAATTTGCCCTGTTGGGAGGAGTGAGCAAAAATAAAGCAAGTAACATACATATTTTGGTTCATGAATGAAAAAAGTTTTGACAATGATTGCTTAAATTGAGGTAACTTAACAAACCAAAGTATACCTATTAAAAGGAATACAACTATGCTTATACGGAATGGTTGAAAATTGGGACACATCGCCAAATTAAACGTGAAATATCGTAGCCTATATTAAAAACAATGAAGTCCAGCTAGTAACTGGACGTCTCCTAATGAGCACTCACTTTTAAAACGCCACAAACCAGACAATTCGGGTGCGCAAAGAAAAAGGAGGCAAAATTCCCCACACAAAAAACCCTAATTTGAGCACACTGAACACTGGGGACTTGTTTGAGCTCTACCACCTGCGCTGAATTCGCCAATGAAACCCAAAAGTCTAGAAGGGCTGCGGCGTAAGCCAGGATTTATCGGTAATACATTCACATCTAAGTTTCATTAATATGCAAGACTGTTCCTAATATCACAAAGTTACCCACATATATATGTAAATACAATGCCAATTTTATTTTATTTTATTTTATTTTTTGCCCGTACTACAAGTTTCCATCTTCCATTTGTAGCTTGGCATTAATTTACAAAGGAGTAGTTTTCTACGCTGAAAAACTATGATAAGTCTGCCCTCAGTGACCTAAAATTTGGATGAATGCTCTGTCAAAAGGTCAAATCATCCCAAAAATTTGCAAAAGCAACAAAACAGATATATGATAGTCAAGAATGAGTACAAGCCAACAAAGCTGACATACTTAACGGAGTTAAAAGCTTTAATAATTAAATGTATGTTTCAAAAGACTTGAAGCAGCTCATCGTGGAGAAAATGCCAAGCCAGCAGCAACCCCGGCCATTCGGAAATCTAATGTTACTTTGCAAAGCTTATCTTTCTTGTGGAAGCAGAAAAACTCTACTCAACGCGTCAGTTGACCAAGAGAAAGGCGCATTCAGGCTTGAACCAAAGAACAAAATCAGGCCCTCTAACGTAATCGCAGTTGGGGCCCGGGAGTAAACACAAAGACGTGCCAGAGCAGGCAATAACTTAAACAAATTACAACGCTCCCCACCGGACTTCTCCCTTACGTCTTTTCTTTTAACTAAGGGCGCGTGGTGCAAACAAGTCTTCGCTTATACAACAAGCAAAAATTCTGACAATGGGTAAAAGTTGAGGGCTTGCCCATGAATAAATGCATTGAGTTTTGCGTTAGAAGCATTGTTAGTGGCCTAGTTTGTGCATAATTAAAACTGGCGTACGTGCATATTTCTCTATGAAATTTAATACTTCTGTCTGGTATGCAAAACACATGGGCAGTAGATCGCCTTACTGCACTTAAAAGCTAGTGAGAAAGATAGTTTTGTGAAAGATCGCATGTGGAAACCGGTGTTATTGCCACAGAAGCATGCATTACGTTAAAAGGTGGAAGAAATAACTTAGCTTAAAAAAAGTAAAAGTAAATAGGATAACAACGTAAGAAAAGCACACCCGTAGATGGATTGATGATGAAGTGGCCATTAGGATCCCCACTAAAAATGGCGTGATGAAGTTGATGCCCCGTGGCATCCTTGTCCTCGCCGGTCACCGTAGCTACAATTGTGTGAGGAGGAGTGCCCTCAGTCACGTGGAATCGGTACTCCGGAGCAGTTGGCATTGGCCGGTTGTCATTTTCATCATCTATCTAATGTTTGAAAAGCAGACGTCTAGATATAAATTTCTGCTCCTACAAAAACCCGATGTAAATATAGAACGTTAGGGACCACAGTGGTTCCACTCAAGTGGGATTGCTTTAAAATAAGAGTGAAAGATTAGTTCAGGAAAACTTCAAGTAATGTTAACGGTGTTTAAATGGAGGAGTCGCGAAGGTGCATTTGATGATGTCCGTGAACTATACAGCAAACAGTCTTGTGCACCAAACGATAAGGTGAAAAATAAGTGCAAGTTATGATTTCAAAGTTGGCGTGGATGCAATTGTTCGTGGACAAAAGTTACTGACTTGAGGATTTTTTTCGCTCCCAGTGGCAAGGACGTTTATGCGGTAGATCAAAACCAGATATGCCATGTGCGATTATAGCCATTCCACTACGAACAAAGCTGAAAATGGGGTTGAAATAATTTCGATGTGAGGCTCCTCTTGAATAGCAAATGCGCGAGGGATCAGAATGAGAGCGTTTAATAAAACAAATTAAGATAAAAAATGGTACCACCCTTTTTGCATTCCTGTCTGAGAAGTAAACAGTGTCTCCAGTCTAAAGAGAAAATACGTAAAATTTGCAGCTAAGAAGGAATAAAATGATGGGAACTATTTTAACTAATCAGCAAAGCTGACACTTAGTCAGGCATCATATTCAAAAGAATGATAAAATTGATTGACGTTGTCCATGAGCACGATTCCAAAAAAAGTGCATGATTGACTTTAAACGACAGTGAACTGCTACCACATTTAAGTCAGGCAATAATTGCATCAGTTGAAAAGACAAGCTTAATAGATGCTTTTCCACACCAGCCATAACTGACACGATAGAAAAACTCTATAGAAAAAAAAATCGAATCCACGGTGGAAGCAAATTTAATAACTGAAACAACTTTTGTGCATTTGTTAGACTTGGAACGCTTCATGGGGGTTAAAAAGGGAGCAAATGAGCCAAGAACTCGAGTTATTGAATAACCTTTCACCCAAAATTTACAATTGAACTATCCACTGAGAGGGACTAAGTATCAAACGCTGTATGCATTTCTATGAAAGCTGGAATAGCAAAGAGGTGTCTGACATCCTCTGGTACTATCTTCTCCCTCAATGACATGGCGGACCGCCATAAACCAAGGCACGGGTGGGCAAATTAGTGATTGGTTCGACGTAACATTGTGTGTAATGCAACCGAAATTCACACTACTCAGAAAATTGTAAACGGAATTGGTGACCAAGACGAGAATATCATAGTCCCACCATCTAACATCATCTAAAGCGATAGCGGTCAACTTCGAGCCAACTTGAACCAGAGCATTAGTGCATCATCTGACGCCCCATCCCCATGATTTAACACAACAGGACCTATTCCTACTCAATCAATGAGTGATGCGATACATCCATATTTACAGCACAAAAAATCAAAGTTTCTACGACATCATTCCATTGGAATTCACACAAAGGCCATAAACCACATAGGAGCAACGCATTGCAATGGTTCTTCCACAAAAACCTGTCACCCCAAACTTGAAAGGATGGAATTAAAAATATGCAGCAAACACAAGATGACGGCCATCGGTATGAGTCATAGAGAGGTCAGTCAACAGAAGCAGGTGGTCCAAGCATCCTGTTACTTCTGGTTGTAGAAATCCGAAACCACAGCCTCATACCCGATTGCTGCAATCGGCAACTCGCCAAAACCGTGGAGACAGCCACTTACCTGTATAAAAACTTCGGCGACCGCGCGCCTGGGCGGAGTCCCATCGGTGGCAACAACAGCCAAGTCTGAAGATTGGTCTTCTTCGGCGTAAACCTCCAACCAATATCCAACAGGGAAGGGAGCACTTTCGGCGTCAATTTCCCGTGTTGACACGATGAAACCTAGAAAAATAAGTGATTATGGCCGTACAAGTGAGCAAAAATAGTTACATTCGTAAGGATCTCCTTCGTTAATTATGGTTCAAAACCGAATCATTAGGGACCGCCTACTTTTTGTGACTACGGTAGGACTTTTAACTCCAATCACCAACGTATCAGAAAAGGGTTGCATATATTCATCAGTGAGCCGATAAACTAATAGGAAATCGGTCGCATGCGTAGTTTTTGGCCCAAAGAGGTGAAAACACATACGGCACTATAAGAATAGCACAATTAATTAATGTTAAGCCGTTAAACTGATGTGAAACAGAGATATTCATTATAATAAAAGGCTTGAGTCTTGAAGCGCATGAATCACGGCTCAACGACATCGCATGAAGTTGCTGACCTAAGAGGAACGCTATTCTTGAGGTTCAGAATGGTAAAACCAGGAAAAATGCACTCATGCGCCTAGGTTTTCATGACCATGAGGTTAATCTATGAGCTGCTCCATGGACCAGACAAACTAAATAAAGCGAATTGTAGGCAGAAAAGGATGGCAATGGGTTCCATTCAGTAAAAGTAGAAATTGAAAATGATAGTCCAAAGGGGACACACCATCAGAAGTTACAGTGAATGTCCCAAGTCCACTACCACCAGCAGTCGTGTAGACTACAGGCAAACCCTCAGGATCGGTGGCATAAATACGTAACGGTTGAACACCATCCAATTGAGTTACTCGACTTCCTATGGGAGCACCTTCTCGTAGTCTTCCTTCGTAGAGTCCGCTGGAGGCATCAAACCTTGGAGGGTAGGCATTCACCCTCAAGCCCAAAATGGTTACCTTGAACTCAGTGCTGGTTTGTTTGGACTCGGGCGTGCCGAGATCGCGAACCCACGCGGTCAGTGAGTGAGTGCGCCCGGGATGCAGAGCCTCGCACTCGGAGGAAATACGAACCACTCCGGTGGCGAGATTGCAGTCGAAGCACAACTTATCGGCCTCGGATCCGAAGAGGCTGTATTGTAGGAGCGCATTGTTGCCGTCATCAGCATCCCTTGCCCGCAAGGTTGTTACATAGGCGCCAGTGGGGAGATCGGAAGGGATAACAAGGTCATCGTAAGTATCTACAAACTCGGGACTGTTGTCATTTGTGTCGAGGACATTGACTCGGACGTAGGTAGTTGCAGTGCGATCTAGAGCCCAATCAGGAGTTGCATTCAACGCCATAGCGTAGAGTTCGGACGGCGAGCTGAATAATGGAGGATCTAGATTGTCAGTGACTTTGACAGTCACCAAGTAGGAATCAAGTAGCTCACGATCAAGTCCTTGTTTTAGACTAATACGGCCCGTTCGATGGTGAATCTAAACAATAAATGCGATTTTCACAACTTTATTACATGAAACTAAAACGGAAACCAGAATCAGTGATAGGGAACTAACCTTGAAGTAGTCCTTGAAATTTCCCAACGAGAAACGCAACTTGCTCTCCTTATCACCATCTACAGCCATCACTTGACCGATTACTGACCCTTCAACTTCATTTTCTGAGACAGAGAAGGTATGTATGCTCGCTTTTGTCGCATCCATAACAAAACGCGGGGGCACGTCAAGCAAGTCTTCAACAAGGATTGAAATGGAACTAGAGACACAAGGTCCAACAGAATCCTGCAGAACGCAGGCACGAATAGTGTACAGAAAGGCTGAAAATGTTTCACGATCGATAGGCGCTGCGACCTCAATAACCATCTCCTCATCAACAGACGCAGCAGATGTCGATATTCCGCGCAGAAGGAATGGCTGATAGGGAGGTATCATCGTGTCGTTGGTGGCCAGTAACGTTTCCTTACATTCGATACCATAAATTATTTGGGGAATCCTAGTTCCTTTAAAAGTGTCGACGAATTTTGCAGTAAAGCTAAGAACCCGTGTCCCAACTGGCAGATTTTCGGGGATTTTGATAACAGATGGAATGGCCAAAATTGGTGTGGCAACCTCATCGTTTTTTCTGAAGAAGCTATCAATGCTTGTCAAATCGGTCAAAAGATTCTCATAATCGGTCCTCCTTTGTTTTTGCTGCTGCATCTTCTCGTAAATACCTGAGGGTTGACAAGATTTGGAATAAATTCGTCCATAGCTCGCCTTCTCCAGATTGATTTTCAACTCAAAAGGTTGTTCGGATGTGCGACTTCCATCGGTAGCTTCGAGATAGACACTCACCGTGCTTTCCGGAAGACCAATATTGGAGCAAATAAGAACCAACCGTCCAGTGTCTGAATCGATCTTAAAACACGGTCTCGATAAAGTCGTAGAAGATAGATGAATTCGTACAGCAACACCGCCTTCTCGATCAAGATCCTCTGCAAAGAAGCGTCCTAGTTCCAGACCTGACGGCGTCAAGGCTTGAACCTGTCCGTGAGGCGTGACAGCCAATTGAGCATCGCACGACTTTTCCACAAATACGGGACTAAACTCATTCACGTCAAGAATTCGTATGACATAGATAACTATTACACTTCTTGGAAAAGGCAAACCCGAGTCAGATACTCTTACTTTAACATGAAATTCGGCTGGCATTGTTTCCGCATCAAGAGGTGCCTTTAAGAGCAATGAACCCGGCCTTGTCGTAGAAAAATTAAACGGAAGCTTATCTTCATCAAAGAGAGCAAAGGAAATTCGTGTGGCCGAGAAGTCCGGATCATGAGCATCGATTTGTAAGACCTCACTTCCAATGGGAACAGACTCTAAAATAGACCGCTCAGCACCACTGTTGGAAATTACAGGGTCATGCTCATTATAGTCAAGGACAACTATTACTAACTTTGAATCAATCATACTGCTCAAAAGAATGTTGTTACGATCTGCAACTGTAAATGCTATCTCGAACCGGTCAGTACCGAGAGCCTCCAAATCAATAGGCTTAGTCACAACAACCGCCCCCGTTTCCGTTATGTTGAAAGGCAGATCATCGTTCCTTGTTGAGAGAGAGAAAAGAAAACTCGAATTGTGAACATAAAAGTCGAGACGCGGATTGATGATGTAGACTGTGGAGTTGACAAGGGCGACTTCACTGACAAAAATTTGGATCTCTTGAGGTAGATGAATGTGAAATACGGAACGTGGAAGAAGTGCCACATCCAGGAAATGCCGGCTAGTAGATGGAATGTTCTTTGAAGAAGCGGATTCGGTGTCAACAGCCTCGAGAGTGACCCCGATTCGTGAATTCAATGAAAGCATAGGAAATTGGGACTTTAGTCTAAGTAACCATTCCCGTTGCTGTCCAACTCGTACGAGCTCGAAGAAGGCTGCCGCCTCGGGTTCGATTATTGACAGTTGTGTATTTTGGGGGTCACCAAAAGACGTTACAGTAATAGTTGCGTAGACTGTTCCTGCAGCACCAGGATTGTGGATATCCGCAATCGAGTTAACGAAAATTTGAGGACTAACCGATCGGACTGGACGTATTTTAATGTGCACTTGAGCATGACTGACAAATTCGCACGAGATGTGACTCAAATTACCCCGATGTCTAGCGAGCACTTTAAAGGTGTACTCCTCAAGACCCTCAAACATGGACAAATAAGTTATCTGATCTATGCTTGTAGACCGACTACGTTTGATTGCGAGACTTTTTGTAGGAAAAATGTTTCCAGAACGTGGATCGATACGAAATGGGACCGTTACACGTTCTGGTTGAAGGAAATAGTAGATTTGACCATTAATTCCTTGGTCTGCATCTGTAGCGGAAATTGAACCAATTTTTGTAAACAATGTCGCATTTTCAAATGCCGTCAGATGAAATACATCTTGGGAGAAAAAGGGACAGTTGTCATTTCGGTCAATGAGTCGAATAGTAATGTGAGTCGTATTAAAGAGATGTATTGGTGAGTTTTTACTGACTTGTTGCGATTGGAACACAGCCTGGACATCAAAAGAGTAAGCGGACTGCTTTTTAGCGTTAAATTCAGCATTATGAGTAGTTCGAAGTCGAAGAAAATAAAAACCACCAAGTTTAACAGTTTCTGTCATAAAAATGTCCTGACTTTCCGGGCTCTTGAGGATGGTAAAAGTGACGACTCCTGAGGGCTGGCCATTAAAAGGTTCAGGGACTCCAAAACGAGGCTCGTTAGTTGAGATGTAGTAATTTGGACCTACATCAGGCGGAACAGCAGCTGTATATGAAGCTAAGGGGAAAGAAAATGGTACATTGTTTTTCAAACCAGGGTCAATAAAATTGACGAAGGGACTATGGGAGGAACATACGATTCGCAGAGGTAAAACGGACAGGAATAAAACACAAAAGCTGGGGAAACCGTACAAGCAGTCGTAATGCATATCCAACAGCAACTTCCTTGAGTCGACTACGTGAAGTAAAATACAAGTAGGCATTCAAAATAAATGGTCCCACAAACAACAAACGTTAGACGGTCACACATAACAGGCGGAGAAGCGGTTTGCCCGAATGTAAAAACGCGCGAATTCAAGTGACCTTTAGACCCTGCCAGATGATTCGCCCAAATGGGGATGATGGCAGCTTTGTTTTTTGATTCGCTTTCGGTAAGGTCAAAGTTAGTATCAGCGTTAACATAAATTTGTTTTTTCAATTTAGCAGACTTAAGGCATAACTAACAATAATAAACAACTTTTGCAAGTTTAATTTTTGAAAGCATTTTTGACATTTATATCAAACACTTTGGCGGCTTTTTAGGCTTCTGGCTTATATGCCGTATGAAAATTGTCTATGGTTTACTGTACCTCTTTTCGCTTATGGTGTTTGTAACATCCTGAGACTTCTCACCGGGTAAAGAAGAGCAGAAAAGAGGCCTGAGGGTCAGACGAATTCTAAAGTGACCACCAAACGTCAGGTAGTCACATAAATAAAGCATAACAGTGCTAATGGGAATGTTTTCGTTATAACATGCGCACAATTTGTGGATATCCCGCTTATGATCTCATTACTATGTGGGCTCATTTTTAAGGCTGTGAATGGGATTATAAACAGCATCAGGTGGGGCAACAACCTAAGGCATCCATGAAGGCAAATAAGACACAAAGGGACTAGTAGCATGGAACTCTGAGACAAATTACGACGTGAAGATGGCCATTAAGCTGGTATGAATACATGCGTCCTATTAGGTGAAGAGATTGGAATATAGCTTAGTCCCAGTCCACGCATTCAGGTACAATGCAAATACTTAAGTAACTGTCAGATACACATTAACATATGTGTTGCAGCTAGTTCATTCAAAAGTCAGTCTACCTACAAAGGCATTCTGTCTGCATACGTGACCCTACTTTAGGTCGAGAGACAAACAACCTCGAAAAGTACCTCACTAAACTTGAAATATATCAGTCCCAAATTATCTCAGGTTCAACATCCGCTTCACTTAGTGACATTTGAACCAATCCAGTAGCCTCCTAACTCTCTCCGTACCAGTAATTTACATTCTTTTGTGGTAGTTTGTGTTGCTGCAACTTCAAGAGAAACTAACAGTGATATTGTAGCGCTTTGTTTGTTTGACTCCTGACTTCAGTTGCTGTGGCCCAAGAGGTCATTTACCTCGACTAGATGGCCAAGCACTATGCCATGCCCTTTTTGCTAAAACTATGTATTCCACGATAAACTTGTTTATGAGCTAGTATTTAAAGAAGTTTATTGTTGCATTTTAAGATTTGTGCAGCCCCTGAGGGTTTCTACTACGTTGAAGAAGGCATGAAGTTGGACTGAATGCTTGTATAATGGGGGAAGAGAAGGGATTACGCTTTGGTTTAACTCAAAGGCCAGCCTTTGTGTACCAAAACTAGACGAACAGGTGTCCAAATATACATTCTAAATGCAATTAATTATTTCAAGTGGAAAGTTTGTGCATATTTTAGGCCGAAATGTTAAAATGTTAAAATGGTTTTCATACTTAATGGGCCAAGAACTTAATTGAAAGTGAACTTTTCTTTAATTGAAGACATAATGGAGAGAGGAATTATAGCGTTCTGAGACTTCTCATTGGACCAAAGAAGGTATAATACTTTACGGAATACTTGTGTTTGAACAACAAAGGAGAGGATAAGTATTTGACCACCTCACCCTATGTCATTGTCCCATTAAGCCTTAAAAAAACTTACAATTAATATTGAAATAGACATTTCTTGTGCCAGCAGATGATTTAATAAGGGTTCCGCAAACATTTGAACTGACGCTTCATCTTATGCACAATCTGAGCTTTTATGCCGTGGACGTTAAATTTGCTAAGCCAAATGATCGGTAAATAAACGCGTGGCATGCAAAGGCGACACTGGCATAAAATAAATTATGCATGATATGGGCAATACATGGGACCAGAAACTGTCAGGAGCAGTTGTTTTTGGAGAGGAATCAGGGCATAATTACCTCTGTTCTTTACCTTTCAAAAGGTATGCAGCTGAGTTATGGAATCCTTGATAAATGAGATTATTTTGATTAATTTGAGAAGGTACTAGACAGATGTAGTCGATTTTATCATTTTGCCGCGTCTTAGAGTGCACGGACTCATCCCATTGGTCCGCTAGGTGTGACCGGACCTTTTGCATACAGTGGCGTCCGCTTCGCCACACGCATTTTTACAGAAGGGACGCTGCTGTTATGGATGCAGCTAGGAAAACGCCGATCTCCCAACGTCCCCAAGTGAATGTGGAGAAAGCAGTGAAAATGCCGTTGGGTCCTGGCGCTCCAATTTCAAGGCAAGCGACCCCATGAGAATAACATAAACAGCACCTCGATTCACAACAAATTACTACAATAGGATGGTATACATATTGGGAGTTCAGTACGTATGTAAATGTCCCAACATTGGCTGCGATACACAGGAAGAACAAAAATGGTTATGTTTTTATGATTTTTTAATTTTTATTAAGAAAATTTGTGAATGATACATTGACACCCGACACGATTTTAAGGTGGGTCAAATCACATTGATAGGAATGCGGCGCTCTTAACAGGTTCAGGTGGTGCCCGTAAGACCTGTATGCGGAGTTACATCAATCTTGGCGTGATATTGCTTGGCTTGCCATTCTTCGCAGCTTTCCATGAGTCGCACTTGTCGCGCATCGCTGGAACTTTTGTGGTGCATCTAGACAAGGAAGAATGCAATAACTTTTTGCAACTTTGCTTTGCATATGTCTAATGAATGAAACCCAAGTAAAGAGGAGAAGTGGTTCTTGCATCAGGTACTAAATAATTGGTCATACAACGACTGAGCTCTTTTAAGCTCAAACTAGCAAAAGAAAATCCTTATTAGTCAAATTCGTTAAGTTTCTTGTAGTTGTAGTGGCGCGATTAATAATTTTAACAACCATTCGGCCAATTGCAATTGGTCTGACTTGTTTTAGAATAGGGTTACAAAAAATGAGAAGGCTTTTACAAATTAGCATTAAGAAGTTGACTCCTATCTTCTAATTTAATGGAGCCTGTATAAACTTGTATCAGCACCAGAATAAACCGTTAATTTCAGTTTGCATGGCAGGTTTCGAAAAGTAATTGGCGGAGGCGAGAGTGGCTTTAGCTGGACAATTTGACTCTTGCGGTCAGTTGATTAGAGAGATGTGAACCATTTTGTTCTTGTAAAACTATTCCGTGGAGGCTAACATGGAGATGACTAACTTGGTTACGCTTTTTTATTGAATGCTGCATTTGAAGTAGTTATCGGAAAGGAAGCTGTTATGATTATGCGTATACAGTAAAGATAGAAATCAAATGCATTCATTATCTATGAATAAGAAGTTACTAAAGGTGAAAATACTCCGGAGTCAGCGTTTGATGAGGCGGAATTATGGGGGAAACGCAGGTATTAAAGCATGCATGTTCATTTCTACTCATGCATACATTTGAATTCGCTGTGCTCAATTCTCTCGGCAAAGACGATCGTTCCTTAGTTCATTCAACGGCCCAACGGTTCTCCAAGCCGCGGGAGTGGGGTTGATACTTAGAAGCCTTCGATTCGAATGAGTTATGAATCCATCTTCGCCTTCACAGACGCGGTCCGAGGGATATGATGCAGTCGGCCATAGCTCCCGACGGACATCTGCGAGTCGTAAGTAGGCATGGGGAGCTGCTCGACAAACGACCAGCAGACGAGTATATTGTGTCAGAGACCTCAAGCTTGACAATCACTCTTTGGGCAGTCACTTTTCTCTGCACTTTCATCAAAGTTCTGTGCATAATCATTCTTGCAGGTGAGTGATGCTTGCTCCATCTATAAACCTTTTGTCAAAGAATGGCATCCTCTGGCTTTTAAATTTTAGCTAGCAATCAAGATTAAGGTCAATCACAGTTATTATCATCTTTTCAACATAATCTAAAAATACATAGATCTGATCTGGTAATGACACCCCAACGTTTAGGCGGACCAGCCACATTTACGCTGGATATGCGCAACAGTCTGTGTGTCAAGAAACCCAAATGCAGAGCATTTGCAAAATTTTGACGTGGATTTTGTGGTCAGTTGATGGTGCAAAGCGCCAAATGCGTCGATAGACTTGAATATGTTAGCACGGAATCCTTCTCAATAACAATCCCAGTCGCAGTGTTGCATTTTTATTGAGGTCAAAACGATTTTGAGTGCACAACTTATTGGCATTGCCACTTGCTAGGAGTAAATGGGCCTTAATTCTTCCCAAAGGAAGCGAACTCCATTCGACTGTTGTGCAAAATTGGTTTGCAAAATATGAACGGTGGCGCGAGCTGGGATGTCTATTTTGCCTTCGCGTTTTGTAATAATAAAATTCCTAAAATAAGACACTCCGTCCCACAAACTTTTCCTGTAATTAGTAATGCTTTTGTCATTATTGCAGATCGTTGGTCACTACCTGATGCGAAACCAGAAACCAATCGCTCATCGCTACATAATCGCAATCAGCAAAGTGTCAAACAAAACAGTTTACCAATAAATTGAAATTTAAATGGAGTTATTGTTTAAAAAATTCCGCCTTCGCGAATGTCAGGTATGCATGATGTGTTTTAAAGTGCCGTCATTGCTCTCACCCAGTCCTTAAAACGA